CAATATGTAAATGGTATTTTTTTTTAAAAGTAAATTTATTATGGACTCTAAAGTAATTATCATTTGTTAATGCGTTTTAAAATATATGTGGATTTTAAATTAGTAATATGACGTCATAGCATGGTGACAAAAGCTATGTAATTAATCAATCATCATCTATAATCATATGTTTGCTTCGTGACTGAGAGTCAAACAAAAAATCTGGTTTCTAGATTTTAATACCAATCAGCCTAGACAATTAAATACACCACCAGCATCCCATGTGAATGTGGCTCGTTCCACAAAACAATCTTTATTCACCACCTTTACCTATGATATACTTAGAACCTATTTTTTGTATAACATTTAGACAAAAATTTATTTAGACAGTGTGCAGCAAACAAAATCGCATGAGAACTCTACATTTTTTGATGGATGAATTCACACTGTTCTGACTAAAAGCTTATTTTACAAAAGCGGTTTCCAAGCAAAACGTATCTTCAATTTTCTTCAAAGCAATTCAATATGGAAAAATAGTTTATTGTATATTCTTTACCTTTTATAATTCATTTATTCCTTTTTCAATAACAGCTTTTACGATAAGGGGTTTAAGAACAATTTTTTTTAGAAAAAAAAATAACCGTCAACTTCGATAGAGATTCATTGATTTTTCTTCCTTGTCATCGATTGAAACATCTACCAATTAATAAACATAATTACGCTAAAACGTGAACTAAAACAAAATCATTTAATAAATATATGAAAGTGCACCATTATTACGAAGGCTTATTAAAAATGCTTCACTCAAAAATACCTTAATTTAAACGTCCACCTGCACAATTCAGAATGAACAAAATATTTTTTTCCGTATTTTGCAATCGATATTTTAAGAATTTAAAATAAAATGACAGGTTTTGTTATTGGTTTAATGACCACACTTTACCGGAACAAAATATAGTTATTTGTTTTCGGTCCATTGTTGCAAAACTTGACATACTATAGATTACTTTATAATATAGACATAATGTAAAATTGTTCTTTGCGTGAATTCCGTTTATTTTAAACAAACTTTAATTGTAAATGTGTTATTTAAATTAGCACATGGTCAATAAATCATATAATGTAAAGTGCTTAAATTATTCCATGTAAAAAAAAAAAAAGTAATATAACTTACCGTGTGTGTTTCTCTTGAATAATCTCAGTACATGTACAACGAACATTGGTTTAATTATATTTTAAATTTAAAAGCAAAAATACCACACGGCATTTCCCTTCCGTACTTATGGTTGACGTCATATACTGGGAACGTGTCTGAACAAGATACCCAGTAAACAGTGTCAAAAGTCACGAATGCTTAACAAGAACTGGCACATGTCCAATACATATAATAGAAAAATCATGATCATTCCCGAATTCGCGCATAAAAACAGAGTCTAGCAAAAAGGGTTAGTTACATAACAAAAATACTGTACTGTATAGTTTAAACATGAACGAGGGTGACTATTATCATACTACTTCCTTATTAATAAATTATGTGTTACTGACGTATATCGCGGATATGCTGAGGTCCGCGTTATTGATTATGTATTCATTTCAGTGTAAAAAAAGTTGCCAATGGTCTGATTGCTTGCAGGAACCTGTTATTGACATGATTAGGATCATTTCAATAGGATTGTTTGCGTGCGTGTGTGTATGTGTGTGTTTTTTCTTTTATTTTGGGGGGGGAAATTCTTTCATGACAAACATTGAAAAAAAATGTATTTAAAATTATACTTTCCGTCCAAAGCACTATAATCCAAAAGACAGACCACCATATCCAGGCATCCATTTAATTAGCTAACTAGAACAATAAGCTCACTTCCAATCACGGTAGACCGTACAAAAAAGCAACGAACGCTTCGGCCATAAAAACATTAACTTCGTTGGCAAATAAAAAGAGGATTATTAAGAAATTAAATAATTTTCAAAAAATATAATAGAACTTATTTTATGATTTGTTAAAGTAATGTCAGAAAATTAATAGTGAAATGAAAGTTTGATTTCAAAATATTGAAAAATTGAAAGTAACAGCCACCCCCTCCCAAAAAGATAACATCATATATATATATAAAAGTAACTGTTTGTCGCAGTGTTTGGTTGTGGGTTTGTTCCACACAGGCTTTTACATGGATTGATGGATCTTGACCAACTTTGGCACATATATAAATCATGATCCAGAAGGAACTCTTAAAGGGTTTTGAAGTTTTTATAACATTCTGTTTGGGGCTGGGGGCCCCAAATTCGTTTTTTTTTTTTTGCGTATATGAGCTATACAAATAAAATGAACAACTACTCCTACATTATTTGATAGATCTTGACCAAACTTAGTAAATATACACTTTATTATCCATATTAAAATACAGAAGTGTATTGAACTCATCATATCCATGGCTTTGGGGCTGGGGGCCAGTTGAATTATTTCTTATATAAGCCATATAACTAGTAATTGGCTTAGTACTTCTACATGAATAAATGGATCATGACCAAATTTACTACACATTTATTTGATTGTCCATATTTAAAAACCGAAGGGTACTGAACTCATAATATATATTATAGTGGGGCGGGGGGCCCCATTTCATTTTTCCTTGTTTAAGCTATATACATATCAATAGGCTTATTATTGAACACTGTAGATTCTTTATGAATTGATGGATATAGGCAAAGCTTGGTATCCATGCACTTAAACGTTCTTAACGAGATATCGGTGGATTTAAAACTAAGAATATCCAATCCATGCAAGGCTGATCTAGAATTTTCTAGAACGTTCGATAATTTAAAGAAGCGATATCTATAGCATTTTTAAACCGATTTTAATGGGACACAATGTAACTTATTATTTACTTGAATGATTTTTATATCCCCCACCCCCATCTCATACATAACTAAAATGGTACATTATTAAAAGGGCCTCAACCGGGGCCCCTATTTCAATTTAAATGTACACTAGTTATATTGGTACAGTTTAGTTGTATATATTTCGCTTTCGAGAAATAATTACGTAGAGGAGTAATCTTTTTACACCATTCATGGAGGATATTAAATTTAATCTAGAATGTTACAGAAGTCCTATATTGTCTTATAATATTCTTTTCATATCTTAAGCTATTGAAACATGAACGTGCCCTATTGATATGCACTGATTGCTTTGATAATGTGCAACCCTACTACACCAGTATTTGGCTGGAAATCAATTTTTCCTTGTCCTACATAGCCCTCTCGTTACGCTTGGTTACGCGTGCCTAATGCATAAACGGTACTAGCTAAACTAAGTTCTTAAGGGTGATTGTGAAATATAGAATTGTCAAAATTAAACGTATTTTACCCATGCTTTTTTACATATATCATTGTATTAGAAAAAAAAAGTAAAATAAATCTATTTTGTTGATCACTCAGAGATTACAAGTTTAAACTAAAACTTTTTTAAAAAAAACGTATAAGTTAAAAAAAAGAGCCAAAGTAAAAAAAAAAAGACAAATTTGAAGGAAATTAATGGTAAAAAAAATATTTAAAATATCTAAAAACGAATAAGGCAATAACTTGGATCAAACAATTGTTTATCAACTGCAATATCTCCATAAAGCCCATTTCGTTCTCTGAAACAAGGTGGGGATAAAACTGTTTTCACCTTTATGATAATTTTTTCCCTAAAAAATGCTATTCAAAAATCTAATTATTAGGGTGTTTGATTGGGAGAAATATTTAAATTAGATACAATAGTCACAAACCATGTGTGTACTTAAAACAATTTACTTCCAGCTTTAATAATGACCATACATAGAAACGCTTCGGCACAAAGCTTAAACTGTACAAAAAAAAATTATACTTATATGAATGCATTTTTGTTTTTGTGTACTGGTGAAGACATTTATAGACATTTTTTACACTTTTATTCTTTATGGCCATTATTAAATTTGAAAGTATACTTGTTCTTATAGTTTAATAACAAATATATGAAATATTTTTGAATTGCCTGCATATTTATATCTCGTAGTGAGACTCGTCGCTCGATTCGGCCAAAACACCTACGTGGCTATTCGTCTATTTTCGCAAGTTAAACAAATAAAATGAATTATTTCAAATAAATCATTGAAACATAATTCTTTCCCTTGATTACAAACACAGTTAATAGCTTGCTATTTTTAATTTCTTTCTCTTTGATAGATATTTATGACAATGAAAAAATTTTCTCAATGATCCAAATTGATTATAATACATTTTAACCCATTATATTACGATTTCATTTTTTTAAATTTGTTTAGATACAAAAATAATATTTTTATCTAATAAAAAACAAATTATAAAGTATCTCAATAGTGTAAATATTGATTTCTTTTTTCAAATGACTAGATGTCATTATAGATTTTAGAGTTCTTACATATTTTCAGATAAAATAAATTTACATTCATCAGCTTGACACACCAGGCTTTTGTTATTGCCATTAAATACATTTTTAAGAAGAAATCGGTTTCAATATGTTATTTTATATTTTCATTTTCATTATGTTTTGCTTATAAAGCTGATGAAAAACTTCCAACATTAACTAACAACGGGTGTAATAATTTTGAAAGACTGCCAAGAGTAACTTATATCTGCATAACAGAGAAATACAGTTCATAGTAACAGATCCGTTCGAAACGTAAACTATCAGTATAACATATTAAATACTTCCTAGTTTGCGCTTCATTTATGTTATATTTGTGTTCAATCACTGCGCCTTTAAGCTCTGATCATCGATTTATTTTAAAGTATTGATTGAATATTAACACGCACTAATTTATTAACGCTGACTAAATGATATTTATAGATTTTTTTTTTAGAAAAGCTCAGTTCTATAAAAAAGAGACTACGTCATTGACTCCCTAACAATGTCTATTAATAATTTGATCAAATGATTTTATTTTCATTCAGTCATCATTTAAAATATCCTTTATAAGCCCTATAAATTTGTAAACGTTTGTTCGTCATTTTACTTTATGCCTAAATCATTAATAAGAAGCAAACTATTTAAAATATATTTTATCTTTGTTAATAATATGGCATCTATCAATCCTTACAAAAACGGTAAGACATACTTAATATATAGTTAATGGCGCATAAGAAGAATATATTATGATTATGACCACCATTACATTCATTTAATTTCAGTAATAGGATGTTCATTTTTAATGTTTTAAACATTTTATGCCACATGAAAATATATATTTCTTGGCTATAAGCAATTTATCTACATTTCTCATTAAAAAAAAAAAAAAAACCAAAAAACTAATCTTTCAAAGGTGTGTCTGAAGAAGAGCGATCTTCCGATCTATTTCTCATTAAAAAAAAAAAAAAAAACCAAAAAACTAATCTTTCAAAGGTGTGTCTGAAGAAGAGCGCATCACGGGCAATGAAACATTTGAGAGAAAAAAAGAGGAATGCACTAAAAATAACCATGACAGCTACATTGACGTTAATGACCTGAGTTTAAGTTGCTTGCCTGCGAATTATCAGGATGGTCAAATTTTGTATTTTATTACGCTTCAAGCTGATTTGACCGGACGTATAGAGTTTCCTTGTACAAACGAAGACAATAAAGAAATGAAGATAAGAGGGACGGGTTTTGTTCAAAAAATAAGGCCCGGTAAACTTAGCAAGTGCCCATGTCCAGAATGCAAAGGCGAATTCAACGATTATTTCATATTGACAGTAACCACTGTAAATCATGTTGTCGGTGAGAATGGAAATTTTCGTGATGCAACTATGTTGTTAGAGACAACAACATCTTCTTTCACAATTTATGGAAACAAAATTTCAAAGACAGATCGAGATGAAGATAGTAATGAAGATTGGTGTGCAGTTGAATTTATCTCACACGAAATAGATAAAGTTAAAGAACTTGAAAGAACGTTAGAGAATTTAAAAAGAACGCAAGGGAATCTCTACGAAAAATTCAGCGGTGATGAAAACCTTGTTGTAATAACAGGTTATCCCCATGGTTTAAAAAAGCAAGTTAGTATTGGTAAACTTGTGAAAAAAAAGGAAATTCTCAAGGAAGTTAGGGTTGGTCAAGAGTGGTGTAGATATAAATACGACGCTACTACATGTCCTGGAAGTAGTGGGTCACCTGTATTTATTCTTGGTCAGCCCATCTGTGGGTATGGCTACTGGTTCGGACACTCACACAACCACAGTAAAGGAGCAACAATTAAGAACGAAAAAAATTGTCAAATCAACACTAGCTCCGTTGGTGTTAATAAAAAATAACAATTCATACATTTAAGGTGTACACAAAAAAATGACAGTTATAAATAGTTTTTTCCCCCTTTTTTCCATCGTTTGATAAATAAATGGTTTTTTTTTTAGTTGAGTTATTGTGCTTGTCAAATAATCTCTCAAAATTGTCTTTAAGACATTCCATGATTATGATAATCAAAAGCTATAAATTAAATACATTTTATGTTTCATTTTATTTATTTTTCTTTTTTACTATTGATAATACATTTGTATTCAGTTTCGTGTTTTCAAAAGAAAGAAATAAAAACATTAATTTGAACATTATTTTGGAATATAAAATGTTTTGTTTAAAGAAAATATTATAATCTTTAAAAAAAAGTAATGCAAGCGCTAAAATATATGTTTTTTTCTTATTATCATCAAGTGGTAAAACACCAATTGGAAAACTAATATCTTTTTAATGCAATATTTCTATAATTACCATTTTGCTTAAATTCTGCTGAAAAATTAACTCCCTTAAATCATTAGCCTCTTCGTTTGTTTGGTTTTAAAAAAAAAATCTTATACATTTTTTTAAAAAAATATATTCTTTATTGAATTTAATAGATGTTTCCTTAATTAACTTTTCATACTCATGCTAAAATTTACGTGTCAGCTGTACATTGTATATGTTTTATCACTTTTTTTTTTTTAGTTGAACGTCTGTACAGGAAGCATTGTGTGCGGTTTCAATGGGATTTTAAAAAATATATGTACGAGAAATACTACACAATATTTCAAATTATACCTGGCAGAGCACATTATTAAATTTTTATTAACATGAAACTGAAATCCATTTGATTCGTTAAACTTATCTTTGCCAATTTCTGGGATTAGTAGGCTATTTACTATTTAACAAATTTAGAAGGAGGCAGGGTTTCGTTGAGACCATGTTTTAATTTTACAACGTTTCTTATTAGTAACTAATTCGTCGTGATGAAAACAAAATTGTTTGTTTAATTATTATTATAAATTAGAAATATAATTTTAATCAAGAAGTTTTTACATATTCTAATATTTCAAATTGACAGTTATCTTTGTCAAGACGGACTAAATTGATTTAATTTCCTTATTCAAATACAAAAATCTGTATAACTACGGCTAACATAATTTATTGAAAAATATGTAGTTACATCTTAAGTAATAGCATTATTATTACGGTTGTCTTATATGGAGTGGTTCCCAAACTACATGTATATATATATATATATATATAATGTAAATTTAATGTATACTCATGAAGTCATTTGCCAAAGCGTTTACTTGTGTATTATGTATTTTTTATCAAAGCTAAACATATAACGTTATATTAATAAAAATTGTTTTTACCGAATGAATTATTATCTTTTATAGCTTTATCGCAGTCAACACTTTTATATCTACAGCTTTTGATTGCGATAATTTCACATGAATGGTATTTCATTCAATATTGTCTATTGTCCTTTATTAATTATAATTATAATTTTTTTTAAATTTGATTTTATAATTTTTTAAATGATAAGTATATCTTTAGATAAGCAAGAATGTCTCCTGAGATTGTTTCTTATAGTTAGATGTTTTTTTTTTAAATTTTGATGACGAGGTCATTTATTTGAAAAGAAAAATACTAATTTTTTAACTAAAAAAGTGTAATTACATTTTTATCAATTGTAGTTCTGTGAACATTTTGATTTAAATTTCGAAATACATAAAATACAAAATTTTTCAAAAACACTTTTTGATTTTGAATTTGATAATCATTATGTTGATACTTTGGTTTGATTAATTAACTTTTCTCTTTAATTGTTCTATTCCGTGAACAAACAATATCAAAGCATCATCAGATGCTTCTTGAATTCCTGTGTTTCGCAGGGTGGTTGAGATAAGTGTTCTATGACTTAACAAAATGCCGTTTATTTACACAGTGTTCGGGTCTTTGAAGAAATAGGCCAACAGACAATACTGAACGCTACCTAGTGTGTTTAAATATTCTCAAAGGCAGTCCCACATAATATTTGTGTCCCGTTCTGATCAATTGATTAATTATTAATTATTGATTAATTTTTGCCTTACCCAAAAAATTTTTTTTAAAAATATTAACCTGATTCGAAACGTCACACTAAACTGTCTTTTTTCATTCAGTACTCTTTATAGAAAAATGTGAGTGTTGGGTGCTGGGCTGTTTTGAACATAATGCAGGACATACTAGGATCAAATGATATATAAAAGATAATAAGTTATATGAGATAAAAATTGTTTAAACATACATACTTTCATATTGAAAATCTCAAGTGTATCAAACTATTCAATGTCATTTGTAAGAAGCCAATGCTTCTAACAATTAAATAGGGTATTAAGGGGAGAGACTGAAGTCAGGTTAGCACAATATAAAATTATTAAAACAGAGTAGTGTTAAACCTGAAAAAATTAACGAAACAAAACACAGAAACATTTCTTTTGCTGCCCACGGATACTACTTCCCAGCTAAGGCTATTTCTTATTTTTATATTTGTACCATTTTTGCAGTTGTTTTGTTCACTGACGAAGGCTTTCTGTCGATACGTTCGCTGTTTTGTTGCGTCTATTTTTTTCAGGTTTAACGCTACTCTATTTTACTCATTTTAAAACAATTAAATACATATATTAAAAAAAATATAAAAAGTCTGATAAGATAAAACTAAAAAAAAATAATGAGAATGTTCTCATAGGCATTCGCGATTAACATTGACTAATTTCTGACATCGGCGCAGCAGGTATTGTCTCAGGGTATGTCAACAACCTTTGGATATTTTTGTGCATACTGTAATAATAATTGTAATCTTAAGAGCACGGAAATATATGTTACTAGATGTAAGGATGATAGTCTATAATCTGAAAGGTTTTTTAATATCGTGTGATTGTTTCTGCAAATAAAAATTCAAATGTTTCCATCTTGTCTGCAAAATGTACAGTATTTGTTCTTTTCCTTATATAGCATTTATTACATCGGCTAATATTGATAATACTACAGATATTTTTACTGACATAAAAATTTCTTTCGCTATTAATTCATCATTTATCTCTATGACGCCATCACATATCTCTATCAGATGATTTTTTGATCACGTGAGATGTATTGCGATCATTACCAACGGAGTTCTGCAATATGTATCCCGATATTCATCATCAGCTTCCACTCTAGGCTTAACCAGATCATGAACTTGTCCGTCATAAAGTGCAATGTCGTATGCTGCGAAGAAAATGATGGTGGCTTTTATTGGCAAAAGTTTATTTCGATTTTCTAAAATCTTATTTAAAATAGACTTGTCTGATTAGTAAATGTTTGTCTGTATTTCTCATGATGCTCAAGAATGCTGCCTGCTGAGCGCCTTGATGCCATTCACTTTTCACATGATTACGAGCACCTTAAGGAAAGTCATTGTAATGCGTGTAAGATGTTGTATAAATGCAACTTGGTATCCGATATAAACAGGTTGCGGGAAACTATTCAAAATTTGCATACTGGATCTTTACTGTTATTAGAATAGGCACGCCAAGGCTAAGAGCGAAACAATGTCTTTTTGCCTGATCTATCCTCCCTAAAATTGTAACTGGCTATTTTTCACTATGGGTTTATAATTAAATGATATTTTAAAACGTATGACATTTCAGATGAATGAACATATAGTTCTAAATCGAATTTTTTTTTTCCAAATCACGCCAAAATTTTTATATATTGATATATCAGATCAAATTTGAGAAACGGCGATATTAATGAATCGCATATCTGAGAAACACTGACAGCAGCATTAAACTCCTATGAATGTGAATCATAATTCTTATTTGTTCTGCAACCTCTTGGTCCTTTTCTTAAAGTGTCATTGACTTAACCACTGTTGTTAAATAACAACAATTCTTAAGCACATCATCATCAATGGAATTTTATATTCATAGGGAAAAAATTTAAATATTACTTTTTTAGTATGTTAAGCATTGTTGTCTGTCGTAAGAAACTAATCCCTTGTTTTATTTTAAGGCTTAATCTAAACAGTGTATAAAAAAGGACGATACCATATGGGAAATTTAGAGAAAATATGATATTCAAAACAGTACTAATTACAATAAATAAGATTCATTAAGTTACTAAGGATTGAAAATAAAAAGAAATATATTTAAAAAGCATCAACTTACAGAGTATGGTAGGTCTTGTACCGGTACAAAGTTAATATGATGTGCCAATTAAATGTGTACAATGATAAATGTGAATAAACACATATGAGTACACACAGAATAATACTCACTTGTCTTGTCAAGTCAAAAATATATCTCTGAATCTCCGTCTCTTAATGTTTTCTTAACCTCTTAAAGATGCAGGATAAGACACATTCCAGCAACGCCTTACACATTATTTACATTTTTAGTCCTACCCCGAAATTTCCACACAATTCTATTAGAACATATTCATTACTTTAGTTGGTAGTGGTAGTAAATGACAGCCAAGATCAAAGGTAATATGCAACGCCCAATACTTACGCAGCCTATTTTAGGGTTAAACAGAGTTAACGCATTGGAAAAGAGACGTAAAGACGTCCTACATAACACTTCCCCTCTTTAAAGGAAAAAAGTGATTGTCAAAAAAAAAAAAGATATTATTATTTTTCAATAAAACAAATAAAGAAAATTCATTTTTATCCTTTCAAGATATTAGACAAAAACTTCTTAACGGCTTATAAAATAAGTAATATGTACAGTGAAAATAATGTTTGGACAAAGTATCAGCAACAACATTTTCTTTGCCTTAAATATGCTTTGTCAAAATAATACTCTTGTAAAATAGACTAAATCCTAGCAATCGTTCATTTTTGGAGACCAACTTATTCAAAAAAGTTAAAGGATTGTGATCAATTAAAAAAAAGTACTGAACGTAAAGAACAATTGGCATAAAAATCTAATTGTTGGTGAGCAAGAATTGTATCTAAACATTCTTCTTCAGCTGTGGAATAGTTTTTTCTGATGGGAGTTAAATTTCTTTAACAAATAGCAGACAGATTGATCTACACTGTGGTCATATTATTGAAACAGAACTGCATAAATGCCGACGTCAATGCCATCTACAGCTAATTTAAAATGATTGTTAATGTCTGGTGCAAT